CTCATCTGCTCAGCACCCAGCAGGTCACACGTCTGGCTGAGCCCAGTCACTCCTGCCACCGCATGACCCAGCACGCTCAGGAGAAGCCAGCACAGGCACTGCTTGCTCACATCTCAGTGCTTTCCCAAAGCCTCTCTGGCAAGCACTGCTCAAAGCCCCRTCCCTCACTGCCTTCCTCCAGGGCTCAGCCTTTCCAGCATTAATGGCTCACACTTCACACTCTTTACCACTCCAGATGCACRTCCTCTGCCACACAGAGTTATTCACCTCCTCAAACTCATAATTTTACTATGTGTGCATTATAACTCCCACTATTTTAGACTGGAATCTAGAACCCCACTGGGACACACTCAGCTCATCCTRGCCATGATATCAAGGCAGGCAGTATAGCCAGGGCCACCACACTTTAGACAACTCTTCTATAAACCATCCCTCCCCCATGGGCAGTCTTGGATAAAAGGCTTCTCCAATCAATCTGAGTGCTAATTTAACCAGTTTATCAATTAAACACTAACCACAGGATGAGATCCTGGCCTATTTCACGCTTAGCAATACCAGAGCAGCCATTATTTCATTACGACATTAAGTGGCACTGGTGATGCCAGGAGAAATAGGAGCTTGCCCAGAAGGTTTCACCCTTTTACTGTGACTGCCAGAGCACTGAAAGAACAATTAAAATTATGACAGACATCCTTTCAGTTCCTTCCAGATCTAATGCAASCTAATCTTGTTGATCTTGGTAACCACACAGATTCATCAGCTTGTCAATAATTCACCTCGTGACTTGGCACCAAGCAGGCTGTGCTCTTCAAATGGCCAAAGCCTGAGCATCTCCTGGCCAGCCAGCCCACTTTTCACTGTGCTGGTCCTCACAGACAGACAGACAGACAGACAGACAGACAGACAGACAGGCATGGGCTGCCCTGGGCACACAGGGCCAGCTCAATCCCAAACCCTGCTCCAACAGCAGAGACAGCAATGCATGGTGAGAGAAAAGAAGAATAAAAAGGAAGACATCACTGTAAATGGCTTAAAGCTTTTCAAACCTCACCATGGCAGGASCAGGGATATCTGAGAAATATCCTAATTAAATGAGCTCAGAGTTCCACCAGGAGACCACACAAAGAAGTGGCCACACACATCAATTTTCACACCAGTATACCGCACCTGTGGCCTGCAGWGGATGTGAAATCTTGCTCTACACAAGCTGGTTGAAATGCAGCAATTTTGCCAATTCCCTAAAATTGAGCTCAGCTATGCAAAGCAGCAGAAGTCCCACAAAATCAGATGTACCTGGCAGAGTAGGAGGTGTAGAGGAGCAAGATTTTCAAGTGCTTGGAATGCCTCCCTGTTTTGAGCCTGCAAAACTCAGCTGGACACTTCCCAGAAACAGCCTTGCAGAAGACTTCCACAGAGGCAGCTTTTCAAAAGTGCCTGTATAGGATTTCATYCCTTCTGGCTCCAAAGAAAACCTGGATTAAAGCTGCACTCAGCAATCCAAAAGGGCTGAGTCCAAATTCTCWAGAACCACGGCACCAAGCCCCAGCCAGGTAGCACTGGCTGCACTGGAGACATGCCAGGGGAACAGAGGGGAAGCATTTGCATATATTTACATCATGACAACATGGAAAATACAGTTGTCATTGTCACTTAGGGCCCATGAGCTCACTGGGAAGGAAGGAAAAAGATATCTTCCACCTGCTCAGGCCCTTCCAACTGAAATCTTCAACAGCTTATAATCCTTAGGGTTGGGAAGATACCCCACTCTTAGTTTGGGTTTTTTTGATGTTCAGGTGTCCACAGACTGGACTTGTGGATCAATTCCTCACACCTTGCATCCAGACGAGCCAAGGAACATTTTAAAAGTCAATCATTCAGTGGACTGGGTCATCTTGTTTTGGGATGAGGAGAAGAAAAGGGGCAGTTTTATCAACAGAAGCCCCAAAACAAGCCATGATCTATTGTATTTATTGGGACTCTTGTGGCCATCAATGCTCTGCAGGGGAGATGCAAGTTTTGGGAAAAAGCTGCAGCAAATGCCCACTAAATTGCTCTCCAAGTGCATCTTTGGCATGGCTTAAGTCCTGTTCCACTGAGTGATTTCAGGGCCAGGRATTTGCACCAAGGTGCAGTGCAGAGAGTGAGTGCATCCCCAGGCAGCCCAGCTGATGCAGGAGGGAAAAGCAGAGACAGTCAGCTSAGCACCTCCCCTTCCCTCCTCACCCTGAACTCTGAGAATCCCAGGAATTCTCCACATTCTCCTGCTTCTGGACAGAAACTCCCTCCAGCCAGGAGCATGAGGATGACCACGGCAGTGGGGAGGAACGGGATGGTATCCCTGGCCTGCAACACCAACCCCCTGTTTGAAGTCCCTCTGACCCCTGATGCACAAAAGGGACCAGATTTGGGGCTTAACCTGCAGCTCCTGCTCAGGTGGAGCCATCCTGCCCAYGGCCATTGCTCTGCTCTGCTGAGTGGGAGTGTGGCCGAGGGAGCCTGCCTGGAGCAGGCATGCCAGCAATGTCAGCTATGCTGTGCCCCCCTTTGTGCCCCAAAGGGTCAGGTTTCCATCTCCACAGGAACCCAGGAGCTGCCAGGCCCCGACTGTGGGGGTGTAGGAGGGAGGGATTGCTAGAGGAAATGCTGCTGTTGCTGCCCCAGTGCCTCCCTGCTCCCAGCCCAGCACAGGCAGCCATGGGGGACCTCCAGGGCATTCACTGGGATCCTCACTCTCCGGCAGACAGACTCTCATTTCTTTGCAGGATCCTTTCTTTACTCRTTTAGTAAACAGGCAAAGCCCAGAGAGCAGCTGTGGCAAAGGCAGCATTGTGAAAGGGGAGCTAAGGCAGCAGAGGGCACAGTGGGGTCTCCCCTCTTTCACCAGTGACTAACTTGGACCAAACTGAGRCAGAGCACTTCTGCCCCTAAACCAGAGACTGCATTAAAAACCACACAAACCTCAGATCAGCAGCTGCCTCAAACCCTACACACAGAACCGCTGCTGCTTGCACTTGACCATCTTCCATTGCTCGCTTTCTGCGCCTAAATAAACTTTCTCTTCCTCTGGTCTCCCCATGCCAGCTTTATGGGATTATTTTATTTCTTAAGGCAGAAGGGTGGCTGTGCTCTTTAAGGAGGACATGCATTCCTTCAGCTCCAGCCCAGCTGAAAAGAGCCCCCAGCACCCAGCCTGGGCAGGAAGCCCTGAGCAGGGCTGTGGTCAGTGCTGTGGTCAGTGCTATGGTCAGTCCTGCTGCCAGGCACAGGGCCAGAGCAGAGCACAGGAAACCAGGGAGGGTGTGCACCTGAACAGCCATCAAACCAACCACGCTGGCACCCTCCTGGCAAACAGCAGCCCGTGACAAATAAACAGATATTCAAAGTCTCTCWGGCAGATCTGAGCTGCAAAGTCACAGCCTTGCATCTCTCCTGTCTTACATCAGGTGAAGGAAGCCTGAGCACACCTTTCCAACACATCATTCACCATGATAAACCATTATTTTACCCCATTTTGCATCCTTTCTTTGCCATTTAGAACTTTATCTATGATTTTTCTAGATGCGTCTGAGTTTATTTATATTGGTCGACAAGGATGCTCTGGTGTTCTTCTTTCCCCCCAGGGTTTACTTAAGCCSTCAAAGCTGTGCCAATCCTCCCATGCTGAGGTGGAGTTCTGTGATTTTGGAGCTGCATTTTTTCAAAAGCCTTATCTTGAAAGGCAGCAAAGCAAACTGCTGTTTATAAGAGCTCTTGCTGGCTAAACCATTATACTGTCCCAAACCTTGTCTGGAAACAAGGGGAGCAAACCTAATGCCATAAAGGACTTCCCAGCTCATGCCCCAGTTCCAACATGACCACCACAGAGATGGCAGCAGGTAGGAAAGCTGCTGAGGAAAGCCCACAAATTATTTACACCCTGAAAGTTTGAAAGAGAAGAACCTTGAAATCTGTTTTGTATGTGGGATACGATACTCCTCTTCTGGTGAGAGAGAAAATGAGATTTCAGCAAGAGTCTGCAAGGAGTAGAGCTCTGATGGGGCTGCTCAGGAAAGCTGGTGCTTACAGGATCCATGGGGCCACTAGAAAGACAGCTCATCCATTTCCCAACAACCCTGCAAGTGCCTTCAAGTCCTTCCAGCTAAGAGTGTTATTCCCAGGAGAGAGTCACCCCTGGAGGACAGGGCACACTCCTTGCTGTGGCCCAAGGACAGACCAAATGGCCACAGCCCTCAGGGCTGTCCCATGTCAAAGAGCAGCCAAGCTCCTGCTGTTTTGAGCCTGGGGGCAGCGAGCTCATGGGGTGCACAGTTTGCTCCCCTCCCAAACCCCTCTGAACACCTTCCAGTTGTGCTGGCAAGAGGCTGGGGAGCAGCAGAAAAGCTCCTCTCCTGGCTGTTGGCCAAGCRTGAAACAGCAAGTGTCCCATATCCTGACTGTGAGTATTTTGGGAAGCCGGATGACTTCATTAGCAGATGCCACCCCCTGACCCAGTCCCCGTTAAACACACTGCTGGCCAGCCCYAGAGCTCGTTACCCCGCACTTTAATGTGCACATTGCCATTTAGCACCAACCCGCTGCCATACCCCGTTTTCACTCTGCTGAAACTCTTGCACAAGCAGTAAAACCCTAAGGTACCGCTTGCACAAGCACCTTGTTGTTGCTTTGTTATCGGGACCGCGAATGAGGAAATCCTCGGGATCATGGATGTGCTACAGTTACCAGCAGCCTGACATCCCACAGCCACCTTCCCACTGTCCCTGCCTCGGCAGCAGGGATGCAGTGCTGGGAGCACACAGGATGCTCAGGTACCAGCGGGGTGACTGTCACACAGAGCCTGCAGACACCATGACATGGAGACGGCAGCGGAGAGAGGGACAGTGAAAACACAGTTATGAATACACTGGAGGAAAGGATTTATACAAGACAAAGCTACAAGTGCAGATGGAGGAGCACCCCAGCCTCCCTGGGCAGAAGGGGAAGGAGCACCCTGGCACACTCACCCTGATGCGCCGCATGGCCGTCACGATCTCCACCCGGCTGTTGGGCCGCGGCACATCCAGGCTCCCGATGTACTGTAGGGACAGAAAGGACATCAGTCAAACTCCTCATGGAAACATCACCACCATGGTCCCAATGGCATCCACAGAGGAAACCCAGGGTCACTTCTGGGTSTGAGGAAAATTAACCAACAAACACCAGAGGTTTATGTCTGAAAAGGGCACAGAAGAGTGCTGTAACTTTATTCATGAATAAAGGGAGAAGTAATGGGCATTTCCCATGGGGTCTCTCAAACTGATAGAGGATGCAGCCTATCCCAATTTCCTGGCCGCAGTTCCCTTTCTCTTTCCCCACTGGCTGAGGTACTTGAGAGCTACAGGCTCCCCAAAACACCTAATGCAACCCCCCTTCTAATATACATTCCCCCATTTAATATAAACCTTTATGTCTTTGCTCTTGTAGTCTATTAACACAGTCCAGGGTTAGTCAATCAGTGGAATTCCTATGGAAATTCCCATTGTTTCTTTCTATCTCGCAGTACAGTTTGTTTGTAAAGACATTCTTTTGTCATTCCTTTCATGAGGAACGGGCAGCATTTTGCCTGCTTCACCAGAACCCTTGCACGCCTCCCACCACGAAGCTGTTCCCACCACAATGCTGCAAGTAGTCAAAACCCCTTTTTCTAGCAACAGAATAACTTCAGCCGTCAGGCCAGCGGGACTCACTCATCTAGGCCATGATCAAAGCACACAGGTATAAGCAAATATCCCCTCGGCTGCAATGAGTCATCTATTACAGACCTGGATATCAGAATATCCCTAAAATAGCTGGACCAACCTGTCCTCTGACAGGGCCCTTCATTATTTAATTACAGCCCAGCCCGTGGCTGTTTTTGCAGGGATGCTGAGCCTCCAGGCCGAGCCTCCAGAATAAAGGAGCCGCTTTCCTATTCAAARGGGACCAAAGGCAGCGCCACCGCGACCCAGCACGGAGTGACGGCGAACAAAAACCTTTTTAAAAATAAAATGGAAGAGGGCAGATCCTGAAGAAGGATCAGAAAACAGACAAGCGATGAAGAGTCAATGCCGAGCACTAAAAACGTGTAGTTGGAATAAAAGCATTTTGAGCCTATTTACTGGCCCTSTGTGCTCCCACGCTTCATCTCGACACGAGGGCTGACGTAACCCTCGGCAGCACAGCCTGGGCACTAAACCCAGCGGGGCTACGTGTTCCTGTGAATATGGCCATAGCCTSTGCTGGCACGGTGACAGCCCAGGTCACCAGATTCCAGCAGCAGCGCTGACACGGGTGCCYGAGTGTGTGAACACGTGCTCAGGCAGAGGCTGGTGACAGGGGTTTGTTTCATTCCCAGTATCCATAAGGGGCTCCCAGCTTCTCTCCACTGGGACTGCCACCTCTAAGGAGGGAGGGCACGCCTGGGCTTTGTGTGCAGGCTGTCCCAGAGGGTCTCTAGGACAGGAACTCAGAGCCCTGTGTTTCTGAGAGCCCTCCTTGCTATCCCCCACACCCCAACCCAACAAGCCCAGTCCCAGTGAGGCCATCCCCAGATGTGCAGCTCCTGCCTGGGGTGGGGGACATGGGCTGGCAGGGGGACATGGGCAGCTGTCCAGCAGCCAGCACTGGGCAGTCAGTGCCAACAGGAGATGTGAGGAGGGAGGATATAAAAATAACCCCCAAACAGCTGGCGTGTCCGTCACGTGCTGTGCAGGCTGCCTTACGTAACGGGAATTACAGCCACGACGCCGGCCCCAGCCCCTCACTGCCCTGCTGTTCTCTGCCTTGTCCCCTATGCCAGAATCTGCCACCCCTTCAAAGGGACAGGTCAGCTGGGAGGGGCATCTTGGATATCAATACATCTCCTTTTTGGAYGGGAAGCCTGGAAACATCAGTAAAAAGCAGGAGCTGAGGAGGAGGGCAGGGGAAGCTGGAGCCCTGACCTTACAGTGACCATGCAGGACCTCAGGAAGGAGCCTGTCCCCATCCTGCCCTGCCAGGCAAACATCCCCGTTGTACTTCCCCACCAAACCTTCCCAGATCCCTTTTCTGCCAGGGACCACCTGGAGAAGCAAGATCCTTATCTCACATGAGGAGGACAGAGTTTGCAGCCAGAGGAAGTCTGTCTTCCTCCAGCTATTCCCAACGCATGAGGTCACTGCCCGGCGATCACTTTCCTTCCCCCGCGCTTTCCTTGCCCGGGCAGGTGCAGAAYGCAGCCATGCCCAAGGACAGGGCAAGCAGTGCCAGCTGGGCAGGAAGCAGCCACATCCACCTCTGGCTCCCACAGGAATCCCAGCAATGCCGAGCTCCTGGCTGCCAACCACAGCCTCATGGCCACAAGTGTGTGAGTGAGYCTGGAGGGGCTGGGGGGCCCTGTGAGCACACGACAAAGAAACCAGATGGGCTCCTGAGACACAGTGCTGGCAACAGGGATGTCTCGATGCTGTCCTGTCTGTGTCCCCTCACTCAGCTGTTCCCCTCCAGCTCACATTCCCAGGTACCCAAACCAAGGGGCACAGGTCACAAACCCTGCAGGATTCACTTCGCTCCCAAACCTGGGCTCCAGGGCATCCTGCCCTATCCCACATCCCGTGGGTGCTCCCACCAGAGCCCCCAGCACATCCAGACCCAGCGTGGGCTCCCTGCACACAATTACTGTGCTCACAGTTCCAGAAACACCCCCCTCTCCCTCTGCTCTGGAGGCAGGTATTTTTTACACATTTCACACAACTCAGCAGATGGACAAAGTCTCCCCGGATTATTTTTGCCTTCGGGGCAGAAATCACATGTGACAAGTGTGCTGCAGAAGAGTAACCCTTCACAGTGTAGTGAGAATCCCCCAAAAGTGAGGACTTGGAAGTTGGTCTCTCAGCTAAACCACCTCCCAGGAGAAGGGGGGATGGTCAGAGAAACCACCCCTATTTAGCAATGGTTTGCAGGCAATGAGCACACCGAGGGCTGCTCCTGCTCCACGCTCCTCCAGCCCTCCTACTCTCAGCATCAATTTTAATTACRGGAATAGGTGTGGGCAAAAGCAGRTGAGGCAAAGGTGAGGATCAGCAAAGCAGCCCGAGCCTCCACAGCGCAACACTTCCCACTCACCCCACCCCAACAGGGAGCCTGAGCCCCCTCTCTCCCAGGGTGGGACCCCCAGGCAGGGATTTTTGCCTCCTTTTGGCCCCAGCGAGGTGCCAGGCACGCGGCGGTGGTCCCGGTGGCCGTGGTGGCCATTGTCCTGGCTGCCAGGGCTCCTGCCAGCATCCGTGCCAGCGCGCTGACCCCACGGGAAAGCGAGGCAGGAAGGAGAAAGGAAGGTGCCTGAGACAAAAGGGAAGAAAATAAAGCTGTGCAAAAGAGCTGACAAAGAAAACAAACCCGTGAAAGAGCTCGCCCTGCCCGAGCCCCGGCGAACCAAGGGAGAGAACACACGTACATGAGCAGAATGTGGTTTTTCCAAAGAAAAGCCTCCAGATCCATGGCCCCACCACCCCACCAAGACGTGGGGGGACAGAATTGGCATCCCCCATCAGCACCCAAGAGCCAAGAGAGATTAGGAGGTCACCAGTCCCCCTGCTCTGAAGGTGGGGAGGGCAGTCCTGGGCAGCCTCCTCCTCCCCAGCCCAATTAGGAGAAGAAAGGCCACCGGCTCGGTGAATGGGCAGCCAAGGGGGTCGCTGGTGTAGCAGGCGTCCTGGCAGCCCCACAAAGGCAGCCCTCACACTGCCAACGGCCAGGGCTGCTTGGGGTGTGATGCCAGCACAAAGCACCTCTTTTGGAGGGTATTTTTGGTGCCTCGTATGCCCCACTGCTCTTCATCCCCGTGTGTGGGATCCASCCTTCCATTCATCCTTTTAGGGTCCCCAGAAAGGGCAGTCCCTCCCGCTGCCATGGCACAGGTGGCTGTCACCCATCAGGGCTCTCAGCATCCAAAGGGACTCTGCTTGCTGTCCCCTCCCCATGCAAACAGGCTCTCTGTCCCAGGCTCAGCGGGAAGAGCCCTCTGTGCACAACCCACACCACGCACCCTCTGCCCACAGCTCACAAAAGATCTGCCCGGTTCTGGGAAATGCCAGGGAAAAAAACAAATTTGTTTTTTAAACAGRAAACAAAGGGGAGCGCTTTGCCAAGGCACTGTTTGCACAAGTCACTCGGTTTCTCATTTTTCCTCGAGGCTGTTTAATACTGCTCGTTTTCTGCTCTGTCAGAAACGAATTTTCTTGAGAAGCTGCTTTTTCTGTGACAGCAGGTGGCAGATATTTTCGGAAAACCGAAGGCCAATCGCATCACTGCCGGGGGACACCTTGGAAGGGGTGTTGATGAGATCGGTGGTGGGCAGAGGTGGGCAGCCGAAGTCTTCCCGGGGAGGAGCTGCCGCCTTCCTGCTGCTCCGACAGCCCAACGCTGCGTGCAAAGGTCAGGGCTGAATCATCCCCAGCTTACAGGGGAGCTGGATTGGCTAGCTGCCGGATTCCAGAGACACCCTGAGCCAGAGACCCCGCATGGATGAGGAGCCACTGCTTCTACAGAGGAGCTGCAGTCCGGCAGAACGCAGGGGGAACACGCTGGCACCAGCCCCAGCCCATCTTCAGAGCCAGGAGARCCTCCTCTGAGCAAGGGATCCTGCCCCCGGTTAGGGAAGGGTTACCAGAGGTACCAGCAGCCAGATGGGAGGCATCAGATACAGGGCACAAGGGTCCCCAGGTTTCTGAAGAGTCCAGGGCTGCCCCACGTACGGGAAACATTGACCCCGTGGCACAGGGCTGTGCCACGAGGTGAGGGACAAAGTGCTCGGGCACCGGCATGAAACCTCGTTATTTCCCCAGCACATGGGGAACACCCATTCTGTCTGCAGTCTGGCTGATAAGGGYTTCTCCCCAGGCTGCAGCTGGCAGGGAAAGCAAGGGGAGATCCATTCCCAGCACTGTTGCTGCTCTCCAGTTGCCTGAGCACGGCCTCAGCCTGGGGAGCCAAGGCTGGCACGGYCCCGGCTCTGCCCTGCACCCCAGGAACACCCAGCCTCGCGGGGTGGAAAGGGGGAAGTTTACTCAGGCCGTGGTGGTGCGGGCTCAGAGGCCAAAAGGGATGGAAAGTTCCYGACGCCGGCCGGCTTTAACGGAAAAAAGCCCTGGTTTTCCATTGTGAGTCCAGCAGCCGGCTGCTCTGCTGAGCTGGGAACCCCAGTTCCTCCCTCAGCAGGGCCCTGYGCCCCGAGAACAGCACATCCTGCCCTGGCAGCCAGGCAGTGTGAGGCAGAGTGTCAGATCCGTGCTGTGCACCCGGACACTGGCATTAACAGGGACCCCCACACCGGGCAGCAGCACTGAACCAACAGGACATCGGTGCTTTGGGGCTGCTGGTCCCAGCAGCAGCATTCACCCTGCGCAGGAGCTGCACCAGGGCTCCAGCGACAAAAACACAGAGCTCGGGGGGCTCCGAGACATTTACCATGTCACATTTACCATGTGCATCACACCCACCCGCGACAAGGGGAGACACCTGTGCCGCGGGTGACCGTGCAGCAGGGCACAGAGCCAGCAGGTCCGCAGCAGGGATAAAGTTTCCCGTGCCGCTGAAGCAGCACTGACCACTGGCCGTGTGTCCGCTCCCCAGCCAGCCACACCCGCACCTACAGCCGGCCCCGGCGGGGGTGCTCCAGCCCAGAGCGCTGCGGGGATGCCGGGCTGGGAGCATCCCACCCCCGCTGCTCCCTCGGGACCTTTGGCACCMGCGGAGCCCACGCACCGCCCGTCTGGGACCCACAGTCTGGGCGCGCACGGCTCTGCCAAATCCAGCCCGAGTTTTCTTTGCTAAGAGCTTGGCTAAGCAGCCTATGAACCGACTTAACAGGCATGGCAGAAATATGCCACTGTTTCAGCCGAGAACCTTTGTAGGCTCGGGAAGGTTATTTATAGCCCGGAGCGAGCAGCGCCGGGCTCAGGCACGCTGCGGCTTTGCTCCGGGCTCARCAGCCCCGACAGCGGAGCTGCCAGCACAAACAGCCCCCGAACGGAGCTGCCAGCTCCCTCCCGCCCAGCCAAACTGGTGCAGAGCTTCACAAGACCCGTCTCCTGCTCCCCAGCCCTCCAGGAAAAGGGACMCTGGCTGGGAAGGGAGCCTAAAGCAGTGGAGGGGAACTGAACACCTCGMTCAGAGCTGCCTGCAATTCAACTCACTTCCAACGCTGTTATTTGCAGCCCATACGTACATAAAAATATAATCGGGGTGGAAACACACATGTACTCGGGGCTTAGTGCTCACCTGAGGCCATAATGTTTTCCTGACAAAGGATTTCTCTTTGGAGCACCCAGYACAGTGCCTGCCTGTGCTCACAGCCCCTGGAGGGGGCAGGCARGTGGGCTGCAGAGGTTCAGAGGAAGGGACATAATGGATCAGATTTAAGTCTCCTTCATGTCCCATCTCCAAACATAGACAGCAGCAGATGCTCAGTTCAACTTCAGTTTCCCACGCACAGAAGCAGAGAAAAGCTCTGACAAAAATGAGAGAAAGCGCCTGGTTGCCAAGACCACTTAAGAGAAAAAAAAAACCACCCCACCACCCAAACCCGAAAAACCCACCTGCTGCACAGAGGAACAGCAACCCTCCCGAACCACCAGTCCCACATTTATCCGTTCCTGGTATCAGGAACATCAGGTTTCAGCACATGTGCCAGACCACAGGCACTGGGTCCACCAGGGATCAAGATGTGCTTGAGAAGCCACTTCTCCCCTTGTCTGCACAYGGTAGAGCAGCAGAGAGGGTGCTCACACCCATCTGCCCCTTCTTTGGGAATCAGGTACATTAAGGCATGGCAAAGGGATTCACGGCACTGAAGGACTATCAGCAGTTTCCAAATAATGGGCATTGGGTAGGTGGGACCTTGCTGTGGCCCACAAGTCCACTGGGGCAGGAGGAAACGCAGCCCAGCCCAGCCCAGCAGGCTCCCAGGACAGGGACAGTTGGCTTCCCTGAGCAAACCCAGCAGCATCCAGCACCCCTGCACTCCAGCAGACGAGGGTCTGGCAGTCCAGAGCCAGGCTCCACCACCCCACACCATTCCCTCTGCCTGCTGCTCTCTCTGGAGGCGTTGGAGCAGCCTGAGTCATAATTTCTGAATGTGCAGAACTGCTGGTGTTGCACAAGGTGGCCCTTGGGTTTTGTCCTGCAGCACCAGGGCTTTGGGAAGATAAGGAGTAAGCTCACATCCCTCTCCTTCTCATGGAGGTGGAGGAGGAGGTGGCTTTCCTCTCTGCATCCCCATTTATTTAACCAGAAAACCACTGCACAGGCGGGAATTTCTGTCCATTTCCCTGCACCATGCTGCAGCTCCCAGTTCTTTCATCCAAATATTTCAGCTAACCCAAGAGGCCAGGCTTTTGATTGTGCTCAACAATTCAGACTGCAAGACACAGAAGAAAACAAACGTCCTGCCTCCCCTCGGAGCCRGCTCCTCCAATTCCCTGCAGCCTGACCAAGGCATCTCTGGGATACGACGGGATTTGGTGCCAAGAGAAGTGGCCAACGAAAACAGATCCAGAAGTGTGAAATATATTACCGCTCCTAAGAAGATGGAGTGGGATTTTCCAACTCTTGGATTTATCTCCAGAAAATGGATTAACATAATCCTCAGGGGAYACTTTGCTGTGCCTCGGTGCCAGCGCACACATCTGCAAGTGGCTCCAGCGGGGACAAGAGGCACGAGCCTCCCGATGGCATGGCATGGCAAGTGACAGCACCGCCTGCCTCACATCAAATCCATCACCCTCTGCTTGACAAAGGTTCAAATGCTGACTGCCCGTGGCCACCCAGCCACCCAGGATGACRAGACTCCCTCAGGAGAGAGACAAGGGTGACAACAGCACAGATGCCAGCTGCCGCTGAGGGACCAAGACAYGCACTACATCCACCACACGTGTCCCTTGAACACGGCAGCAGGTCTGAGTGTAAAAGTACAATTAAAAATCAAAGCAATAAATCAGCACACAGTGACTCAGGCCCACATTACCCCCCTGCAGTGAGCCCCAAGCAAGCTCGTCAGGAATCTCAGGCTGCTGGAGCAAAGAGCRCTGATCCAGCTGCTGAGCTGTAGCACCGGGATCCCCGCTGCCCGCACTATCAGTTATCCCAGGAGGATTCGAGGAGACAGCCACCCCCCAGATGAGCATTTTTCTGGTTTAATCTTCCCCTAAAGTTCTGCTCTAAATCAGAGTTCTGCATTTTTGTRGCTCGCGCTGGGTGCCTGGCTGCTGCGAGAGCTGTGCGGGTGTAAGCGCTCGGGATTCTTGGGGATAAAAGGAAGTAAAGGAGTGTAAGCATTTAATTAATCTCCAGCAATCTAATAAAAKGATAGAGTAATTGCCTCAGCCATCTGCATTCTGTATCTGGCGTGAAAGGCTGCTGGAGAAACCCACGAATTCGGAAGCCGGGTTTCGTACGGATTGTGCTTGGCATTAGCGCGTGCCACCGGATACCAAATAAGAGAAAGAGGAGCGAACAAAGGCTAATATGCAGCGCTGCATTAACGCAGCCAGACCAGCRGCGTGGAGCAGAGATGAGCCATGAGCACGCTGAGGGGCTGCTGATGCCCTAMCCCACTCCTCAGCCCCGAACCGGGTCACCCAAACCTGGCGTGGAAGAGGGGATTTAGAAGGGGAGATGCTTCGCAGCCTCCCCGCAGGTGAGGGGCTGGCAGTAAAACAGCAATCAGCTCCGATCACCCAGGAGCAAAAGACTGCAAAGTTGAGCTCGGACAGTGTTTCACAGTAAACAGTTGCAAAGCAGGTTTAAGTTTGCTCCATAAACTCCTCGGCTGCTTTGCTCTCCGCAGYATAGTGCCTGCCATCGGGCAGGTGACGGCCTCTGCAGAGGAACCCTCCCGGCCCCGAGAAAAGGGGGAAAATAACACTTTGACACTCTCCGATGAGCCGCAGCCTTGCCCCGAGGGTACTGCACACAATTAGATGCCAAATTTTCTTCCCCTGACAGCACTTGTTCTCCGAGGACAACAATGTGTGACAGACGCCTGCCTTCCTGCCGCTCAAACTGTTTTACACCAGGCTTCTCCAAGTCAACCTCACTTGACTATCTCTGTCACCGTGATAACCGTAACCCCCACGAGAATCAAACCGGGCAGGATTTTATGTTTCCCCTTTCCAAATATTCTGGCCAGCTCCTTCCCAATTTACGGCTGGCCAGCTCCTTCCTAATTTACGGCTGGCCAGCATTCCTTGCTCGGTAGCTTGGCTTTTGCCAGCCTGCTGCGAGATGGCAAGTGCCAGCCCGCGAAAAGCCACAGCCGACGTGGAGCGAGAGAATGAAAGGTCCCAACAGAGAARAAAAGGAAAAAAAAAAAAAAAGAAAGAAAAGAGCACCTCGTGCCAAATGCACGGGCAAGGATGGTTTATATATGTACAGAGAAACAGCAAGCTTTTATTTCGGGCGCGTGTCCCTGACCGCTCGCACCGCAAATGGCACACAGTTCATCCGGCTGTCACATTAGAGGCGCACCAGGGTACACGGCATCCTGCAGACCCCAACCACCCGTCTCCCATCCCACCGGCATTCCGGCACTCCCCACAGCGCTGGAGCTGCAGAGCAAAGCCCGAGCCCTCTTCTCCTTCCCGGCATTTGCACAAGACCCCGCTCTTCGGGGCCAGCGTCCCCCAGCAACACCACGCAGAGCCACGGAGGGATGCCGGGTCAGGGAGGGATGCCGGGTCAGGGAGGGATGCAGGGTCAGGGAGGGATGCTGGGGCGAAGCGGGAGGGTGACCCCACTCCAGCCTGACCCATCCCACCCGGATAGGTGCGAAACCTCGCCCAACTCTACAGCCGAGTTCGGGGCAAGAGCAGGCAGCGCCAAGGGGAAGGGCTCCGGGGAAAGCAGGCAAACCCCACGGCTATGCGAACAGCGAGCCGGAAAACCGGGCATCCCGGGGTGTCGGGGTGCAGCGACCCCGCGGCTCCCCCGCGCCCGCCGCCCACCTTGGCCTCGAAGCAGATGCCGTGCTGGAAGGCGTCCTCGTTGTGCAGGGGGATGCGGAGGTCGTGCCGGTCGTCCACCAGGTTGTACTTGGACTTGGCGGGCATGGCGGCCCCGCGGCGGCCGGGCAGCCCTGCAGCGAGCCCGGCCCTGCCGCCGCCGAGCCCCCGCCCTGCCCGGCCCCGGGGCGGGGACGCGCCCGCGCGGAGCGAGGGGGGCGGGCGGTGGCCGAGGGGGGCTCCGAGCCCCCTCCCCCGGGCGAGCACCGGCCCCGGCAGCATCGCMGGGCGGGCAGCGCTGACACCTAGTGCGCGGGGACGGGCTTGCGCCCCGCCGCCAAACTTCCAATAAAACAGCAACAAAAAAAAACAGGGGGGAAACGGAAAACAATGCCTCGGGAATCGTTGGGGTGAGGGTGGGCAGCGCCGGCCGTCCCCACCGGGCGCAAAGGGCAAAAGCGCTGCTGGGAGCGGGAGCCGCGTCCCTCCGGGCCGAGGAGCTCCGCACGCAAATAAATCTTTGTGTCAACACCGGACGCGGTGGAAATCAAGCAATCTGGAGCTGGAAAATCTCCATTTTGCGCTTAAAGAAACTGCAAGCCTTGCCACCAGACCCCCGGTCCTACTGTGCCCATCTCCCTTACAAAATTCCCGAAAGCTGTGAATGCACTTCCTACACGCTGAGAGCAGCCCAGAGCTGCTTTCCAAGTGTTCTGGGAACCACTCACATAGATCTGACCTCAAATGCAGGCTGTTGCATCCCTTAATCCCACGTGCACAGTGCACCCTCAGGTAGGGCTCCATCCTTTCGTGCTCGGATACCCACAGTTGTTGTAGAGCTGATTTCCCTGCAGTGTGGAGGTCTCAGACGCACTCCTCCCCAGAGGAGACCCACAATTCCCAAAGCCTTGCTCTGCTTGCATGCTCCTACAGCCAGAGCCCGCTGCCCTCGGGGCTCCAAATGAGTGCAGTGCAAAGGGCAGCACTGACTGTTGATCCTTCCCCGGGGCAGAACAGATCCAGGGACATTGATTTTTTCATCCTGAATCGATGTGGTGAAACTTCCTTTGAGTTTATAACACAGTTCAGAGCCAGACACATCACTTCAGCCACATCTGAAACATTAATTGTTCYGCTCAAAACAGAGTGGGCTTTCCACCATTCCCAGAGGCACAGCTAACAGTCTGGGCACAGACAATTGCACGACAAGCTGAGAAATCCCTGTGCTCCTTYGTGCCCATGGGAACAGCTGCTGTGCTGCCAGTTTCCCCGTGCCAGGCCCGGGTGGGATTTCTCAGAGCTGTCAGCRCTTGGACAAATGAATCAAGGGATGATTCCACACTGAAGGCAAGATACCAGTGAGCCCTGGGCTCTTGCAAACTTTTTCTCCTGGTTTTGGGAGAGGGCAGGGGATCAGTGCTGTGTGCTGCAGTTGTGACTGCACCTGCAGAGATCCCTGGAGAAAAACAATGCAGAGAACTGAAGCCTGAACTCACTTCAGCCTGGAACAGAAGCGTGTGGTGGGACAGTCTTGAGCCTGGATCTGCTCCGTGGTTCTTGCTGAAGGTTTCTGTTTATTTCTAGCAAAGGTTTAGCTGACAGCATGGAAGTCCCAGGTGCTGGGAATGATACAGACACTGGAGAATTCCCCTGAGAGTCTCTTCAAGCAGGGTAAGTTTCAGCTTTGAGATGAGAGCAGCAGCTCAGGGCTGTGTCTAGGCRTATTGCAAGTATCCCCAGGGACAGAGATCCCACAGCCTCTCTGGAGCCCCGTTCCCATGATAAATTTGATTAAAGACACACATTCTTGCAGACTGCAGGCTTTCCACAGCCAGCAAAGCCCCGTGGATTCGGGGAAGAACTGAATCCCGTGTGGGAGGGCTTGCAAGCATCTCTCCAGTGAATGACACCCTCGGGGAGGTGTTCCCCAGGTGCAGGCATGGGTGTTTGACGGAAAGCCTTCAGAGCCTGGGGAACAAAGCAGCTCCTTCCAGGCAGTCCCGGTGGGTTTTGGCAGCRCTGGGGCTCCTGACAGACACCCTGGGCAGTCCATGGCCTGTTCCTCTGGCTTCTCCCACAGCACAATTGCTGTTCTCGCTGCCTGCTGCAGCGCCTGGAGCCAGCCTGGAGACTGCTTTTAGAATATTGGGGTTGAACCGAGGGACAAGCCTCCCTCCGCAGTTACTCGTGAGTTTCTTGCACCAGCGGCACGGGGAACAGCAGCTCTGCTGCAACCACTTTTTCCCAAATCTACCTTGTCCCAAGTCTTGTTTCCCCAAGTATGACTCGGGGGTAACTCGCTGCACCTCTCCAGCCGTTCATACAGGATACCTGTGAGGTGGCACTCAAATTATTCCACTTTCTTATTGTGTTACAAAAATCAACGGTGTCTCTTCTTTTAAAAATTATTTTTCTCCCTAGATTCGGTGACCTTAAGCCTCCGTGCCCTTGCACSTCCCTGCCAAAGCACCGCTTCCTCCTGGGAGAGCCTTTCCGGGCTGCTGATCCCAGGGCATGGATCCAAAACCCACCGGCACCACAAGGTACAGCAGATCCGGGAGAGAGAGGGAGGGCAATGAACTCTCAAACTCGTGTTTGCCCTACCTGAACCTGTGCAGAGCCTGTCTCCTCCCTTTCAAAATCAATAATTATGAGCCCTGGAATAACCCGTCCAAGTTGTGTAACCGGTTTGCTCGTTGTCGCAGCCCCGGTGGCGGGACCGGGGCTCACCCGTCTGCTCCCGCCGGTCGGGGGCTGAGGGGGACCCCGAGGGGACCGAAAGAGGGCCGGGGGTCAGATGGCATGGGACACGGCTCTGCGAGCCGGAGCCACCCATGGGGACACTGAGAAAGGCTCCCCCGTTACCCCCGGGAGCAGCCCCGCGGCGGCGGTGGCAGCGGGCGGGGACAGCGCTCGGTGCCGGTCCCTCCTCTCCCGGCGGCATCGAGATGTGCATTTGTAAGGCTGGCCTGCCACCTCCTGGGAAAGCCGGGAAAAGAGGCACGGAAAGCTTAGACTGGCCGGAGGGACTGGGATCGCCTTCCTCAGGCTCGCCTCAGCCTTTGGGGTTTGTGGGTGTGTGTGTGGGTGTGTGTGAAAGTTGCTCTGCCCTTGGTCTGCCCCGGAGCCTCAGCAAACCAGCCCCACCTGACATTCCGACTGCCTTCGGCATCCCGCGAAGTCCTGAGGATGATCTCGGAGTGCTTATGTGTTGCAAAAATAAAAAAAAACCCCTGTCATTGTGTGCCCGCTGAGGGGCCATCTCCAGCTGTGGAGCCCCCCAGCAGCAGCAGTTGGGGTGTCCTGGGGAGACATGACTGTCATCCCACTTGGGAACAAACCTGAGCCTTGCTCTGCAGTGACCCACAACCCCAACAGCAAAGGACCCCAAAGAGTTGGTCAGATGGATTTAAATTTGCCCAAAAGCATCCCAAAGTTTTGGTAGGTTCAGGGTTAGAAAACAGATGATACTGTGCAAATGTGTTATAAATGCAACTTGGCCTGTGAGTGTCAGCCTGCACCRTCTAGTCTGATCCTCACAGAAAACCACAGTGAAAATACCACACTTTTGCCACCAGAAAATCCTGTATGCTACTGTAACATCCACGGGCTGTAACAAGAACCACCTGCAATCCTTTCCCTAACCTAAAATGTAATGTTTGCAGAGCACTTCATACCCCAAACACCGCTGGTGCCACCACAGCCAAGCTGCAACCTTACACAAAAATATCCCCATAACTCCTGGGCTGCCCCATTGAGGTAGGAGAGGACAGCCACCCTCAAAGGTGGCCATGGTGAACATGTCCCCCAGCCCCAGGAGGCTGGCACCCCCTTCTCTTGCTGCCTGAGCTCTCAAAGTGGGGGATACATCATACCCACAGCCATCATTGCTCACATTGCTTCTGCAGCACAACACAGAAATATTTGGGGAAAATACCCCGTGCTCTGCTTGTGCTCAGGAGGCTCCTCCCCCCACAGCAATCCTAAAAGGGCTTTCGGCCAGGAATGCAAATATTTTTCACTGTGCTGGATGCAGGTGGGAATGGGAAACATCACAGGCCATGGCTGTGAGAAGGAGCGAGCAGATGGCAGACTTTGCAGCTCTGCACAGTAATTTGTAAAGCAAATTGGCCCTTAGGCAGGCATTCAGACAGGAAAGGTAGGATCCAGCTCAGAGCTCCCCATTGCTTTGGTCTCCTTCCACAAAATCCTACAGCAGCAAATTCTTTTAGGGTCACGGCCCTGCAGTTGGAGAGTGCACCAGAGCACACACCTGTGTGGCATCAGGGCGTCCCAAAACTTTCTACCCGTGACCCCGGGGTGGGCTCAGGCTGGCAGTCACCTTGTCCCTCCAGTCACCTGCACAGCCCCGGTGGCAGAAGCACCAAGCAAGGTGTGCAGGTCAGCACCACCAGCAGATGCTTTTTCTGCCCAATAAAACCTGGTGATCAACATCTAAATAGCAAGGTCTGGGGAGGAAATAAATAACTTGAGAAAGGGGAGGAAGGYAAGTCTTTTGGAATTAAGGTCAGGAACTTGCTGGCATTTGCTGACATTTCATTCTGATGAGCTGGCAGAGAGCTCATTCTCATCAGGCATACACTTATGTATGMATTTATTTATTTTAGAGGTGGGCCTGGAAACTGCTTCAGAGCTGTTTTTAAAAAACACAGACTCATCTTTGATATCCAGTGGGGTGCAGGCAGACTGCTAATCAAAGCGTCTGAAAACTCAGATTTTGCCTTCACAGACATTCTGAATCTTTGCACCATGGTTTCCTTTCAATTTGAAATTTGCCCAAGTTTTTGGAAGTTCTCCACAAACCCCAAGCCTTGAAACATTTTTCTTTCAGAAAAACAAACACATGGTGCTTCTGAAATAAATACACTCCCTGGAGCGGAGCAGGTGCCAGCTAAAATTAACATTGCTCCCTGCCAGCTTCAGCCAGCCCCACCACAGCCTGCAAGGCAGCCTGGAAGGTTTGGGGCACCCAGAGTCCCAGTGCCATGGCAGGGAGCTGGTGGCAGTGGGAACCACATCCCTGGGAGCCTCCCAGAGGGCTCTGAGAGAGCAGGAGTTGTTCCCACAGCAGACTGGGGCAATGTCCACATCCCCTAAATAGCCACACAGGAGCTATCCCATACAATATTCCCCTTGCTTTTATCTCACCGG